GCAAGGCAAAGGACATTACACACTTTGACATTGGAGTTGATCAAACAGTTACAACATTAACATAAAATGGCTCAAAACTGAAACACTCCCCCATAACACAAACTATTGCACCCACATTAAATACATCACGATCAAATAACTGTTTCCCGTCATTATTTTCTTTCACCCAGCAGTTTAGGAGCTGTATTGTTAAACGGCATATTTTCTCTCCTTTTGATACTGTCCAATATTGGTGCCCTCTCCCACGATGATTAATGTTCACAAACCCTCATAAAACACAAACATAACTATCGAGAAACTAGCAAAAACAGACGTGAAATATCAGACAAGGACAGTGATAACTTGAAATTAACTCTTTATACGATAGCACGTTTTATACGCAAGTAATTCCGATGTCATGTGTCATGTATGGGGAGATAGCCTGATTGAAGAATTACTGCGTTTAAGTCCCAAGGAGGTCTCCGTTGTCTGACAGTGTATGGAGTGGGCGTGGTGAGTCACTTCATGTCCAAGACTGCCTGTCAAGCACTGCTGAAGCGTCCTTGGTGTATTTGCTTTCGGAACGAGGGAAACTTATATGGTATAGTGAAGTATGTGATCGCTTCTATTTGTGAGAGGTTCGATAGTTTCCGGGGAGTGGGCGCGCCTTATCGAGCACAGTATATCGGGGTTATTTCAACATTATTATTCGCGAAATATCTGATTATCTGTTCATTATGTATAGTTTTTTGAAAAACCTCAAAGTCATATATTCGTCAATAGGAAAAGATAATGTGTGTCACGGGTGCAAGAATTAATATTACTTGTTTGAGTGGCATTTTTGGTGTGATGAACAATGAGGAGAGTTCTATGGATATACAACTTCTTTAATATAATATGAGCGACGGTGCAGCTACTAACACCGTTATCAAGCAAGTGGTGCAAATCACCATTTGCTTGATAACGATGTTAGTAGCTACACCGAAACGTCGCTCATATCATATTAAAGAAGTTGGATACACAACTAGCTACTATATCTATTGTGAAAATAGAGACGTGAAAGTAGCTACACCGAAACGTCCCTCATATTATATATTAAAGAAATTGTATATCCATAGAACTCTCCTCATTGTTCAGAATTAATATTGGTTAAATTCTGAAAGTATTTAGTTTGTTACATATCTGTTATATATTTGGGGCTTGTGGGGTAGTCTAGTGGTTAAAGCGTTCGCTCGTCACGACGAAGACCCGGGTTCGATTGCCCATATGGGTACCATATGTGAAGCCCATTTCTGGTGTCCACCGCCGTGATATTGCTGGAATATTGCTAAAAACTGAACTCACTGACTGTTCTGTATTTGATTTAGAAAACACGTGCGTAAGTAACGACTGTGCATAGGCTCTGACGCTTAGAAATTTGTCATTGGTCATCATTTTTGAGACATTGACCCATGTGGGAAATCAAACCGGCATTTTCATTGTGACACGCAAACTTTTATCCGCAGTGCTACAGCAGTATAAATGATTATATATATTTCTGCCTTTCGAGTTACGCGAAACGAGATACTTTCTCGGCCCATAATCTTTGTTTGTTTGTTTGATGTTTAACGCCGCGCTCAGTAATATTCCAGCTATATGGTGGCGGCTGTAAATAATCGAGTCCGGACCAGACTGTCCTGTGATCAACATCGATCTACGTAATTGGGAACCGATGGCATGTGTCAACCAAGTCAGCGAGCCTGACCACCCGAACCTGTTAGTTATCTCTACGACAAGCATTGGTTGCTGAAGACCAATTATAACCCGGAGCTGCACAGGTTCCAATCCCATAAAGCTTCAAATGGTTTGAGTGAGAACTTGAGGCTATCACGCCCCTCTGATGACCACGATGACGTCGCATATACGTCCATCACGTCTCTGTTTTCACAATAGACATACTTAACGCTGTATCATGAGGAGCCCAGCTCCTCACTGATTCACCGTGCGTCTTTACGTGTTTTGAAGCTAATTGATTGTGACTGGCGGAAGTGGACATATTAATAGAATACAGTTTGATTTCGGTCACAAGGGGCTGTGATCCAGAACTTCCTTTGTACTCTGTCACCAGTCCAGAAACAAGAACATGTTGCTTTGAAGGGTTGCTAAGACCATAAGCAATGCATATAGATGAAAGGGTTTTCACAATGCAATCTTTTTTTGGTAGCAAGTCTTGAAACAGCAGGAACCGTAACTCCGCCGCATCCTATCACCGACTTTGTTGTCGACATTTCGCTACACAGAACTACGGGCTCTCCATTAAGTGTTTTCCTCATTTACTCCCGATTAATATCTGCATCACACTTTACATGCTTTCGGACAGTGCATGCTTTGTGATCTACTCACAAATTCGAAAACAACCCCTTCCTAAGAAGCCTGCCTTTGCATATGATTACTGATATTTTAGATTGTGCTAAAATTTATTACTTATCGATTGGACAAAGGACCGGAAAATATTTCTTATCCAACGAGGTGGTTGCCATACGTCCGTACCTTTTAGACGATTCCAACTTAATAGGGCCCGTAAATAGGTCACGGCACTTCGCGAGACCTTAGTACTTCCGGTGACAAACAGCTTTTATACCTTTTCGAATGGCCTCATGGTTGTCAGTTGACAGTAAGGAACCGATAATCTTTGCCGGATTAGCCAACTATTACGACTGTCTACGGCTGTGACAGACAAGCATAGTTGTACACTTGGTTCGGTCTAGTAAAGTCATATTTGGCGGTCGCGCAATTTGGAACCAGAACTGGTCCTTGAATATACGCTTGTCACCGGAAATCTAGTACCGGAACTAAGCTGGACCTTGTCTCGCATATCGTAAGATGACGCGCGCAAAGGGAGCCAGACACCAGCTTAGTACCGGATGTAGCAGATGTAATACATGACACATGACACATGACACATGTTAGTTTATCCAGGATCGTTTTTTTATGTAATAATTGTATTGAAGTAACTGTAGTCAAATTGACCTGTGAAGATCCGGGTTAGAATTGATCTTCAGTAACCCATGCTTGTCGTAAGAGGCGACTAACGGGATCGGGTGGTCAGGCTCGCTGACTTGGTTGACACATGTCATCGGTTCCCAATTGCGCAGATCGATGCTCATGCTGTTGATCACTGGACTGTCTAAAACTTGATTGCGTAAAACTTAACTCACTGGTTTTGCCTGCTTAATCATCCAACTTTTGTTATGAGAAAAAGTAAAACAGTAGCGTAAATAGTAATCTATGACTGGTTAACTTTATTTGCAAATTAATTGCAAAATAAAGACTGGGAGAAATAAAAATGGTTGCAACCATGTGAAATCTATCGTGTTTGAAATGTAGGTTTGTGCCGAAAATTCATTATTATTTTTTGAGTGAATAAGTGAACTGGGTTTAATGCTACTGGGCACAGTATTCACTAACTTGGAATGTAGACGCTTCTCACTTACAAAAGCAAATATACTCCTGTAAGTAAATGTGTGCGGCTTTGGGAGAAACCCAGACCGTCCCGTGAAGATCCGGGTTAGAATTGGTAACCCATGCTTGTCGTAAAGGTGACAAACGGGATCGCATAGTCAGACTCGCTGACTTGGTTGAAACATGTCATCGTATCCCAATTGCGTAGATCGATACTCATGCTGTTGATCACTGGATCGTCTGGTCCAGACTCGATTATTTACAGACCGCCTTCACATAGCTGGAATATTGCTGAGTGCGGCTTCGAGGAAGAAATAGAACAAACGAACACCGAGCAGACGTCGACGAATGTAGGAAAACTATTGTTTCAAACAGCTCTAGACACTTGCTTCTATATACGCATGGACTAGAAGCCACTACTATGTCATATAATAGATGACTGGACAAGAACCGTGATCAATGAGAAGGTCGTATATCAGTCAGATTGTCCGCCGAAATGATCCCTTACTTGATCTGTTAATAATAACTTCCATACAGAAGGAATCAATATACAGCCCTATAGGAAGTATCATCTTCCACAAGCTATAAACATTTGCTGAGATGAAGGATGTTGGTGGGAGCATTCGACCAATGTTGGAAAACAACTTAATATTTTGATCGATCGGATATCATTTACCCACACTCATCTATATATAGGCCCTCGAGGGATTTTAAAACAGGAAATTGCTGAAAAACAAATTCATATTTGATCAATTGGATATCTTACACTAATCAATACTAGGCAAGCGATGGTTTTCAACTCATTGTCTTCAGGCTAAACCAAACCTAATTTCACAGGCTTAAATATATGACGCAAACACGTCCGTGAAGGTCATAGGTCACACACGGTTAAACGAATGCTGGTATTGTCTGAACACTTAATACAGGTGCACATTGTGTCAATAAGACTCTGAGAATATTCCCATTTGAATTCCGTGTTGGAATCGATGGACAGCAACTTATGCTTGTGGAAAGAGGTCAAGCTCGGAGACGTTGGTGGCAGCATGTCTGTGCACCCTGTTGGCATGGAACGTCGCCGTCTGTAGGAATCACCGGATAAATATATTGTTAATTATTTCAGGTCGAAGTCATTTACCTCGAGAGAGAAAAATGCACAATCCAAAACCGTGTTAATCTGACTGGGTTCCATAGACCCTACCAACCTGTATTGTAGGGGTGGTAATTCATCCATTTATGCAGCAGGGCAATGACACACAAACACAGTTTGACGCTGAAATATTTGACTCAGAATTAACCAACAGATGACAAATGTTGGCATCGGAAAACTTCACAAGTTTGAAAAAACATGTGTTTGTTGAAAGAATCTTTTTTTCTCTAAGTTAAAGTCTCTAGTGATGCGTCTGCTGTCGTTTCTAATAGTTTTTTTTGTCAAAATGGTGAACTTAATTGGACTTTGTCTTTTATCGTCTTTGTAAAATAGAAAAATAAATGTACTCAAATAGATTACCTGCTATAAGTAATTTATGCGTGTTTCCCCCAAAGACTCATGTACTTTGTTCTTATGTTTCAAGGCGTTAAACCTTGCTATTTAACGATAAAACCTGACTGACGCCTTTGGCAATTTCAATTCATCTGAGCCAGGCTGTTTTCTAAGCTTTATAGAAACATTTACTATCCTGATGGCATGTTTGAAAATAGTCAATACAATTGTACTTCACCGGCAAAGACAACCCGACATCACGGACAACTTGGTCAAACGGCCATCTTTTATTACACCACAACACACAAAAAATCCCGGCAATTACATTACTCCCGTCATCTTTTATCAGAGCAAGACCACCACTTGGTAATTGACACTTCTTAACAATGTTACAGCGTTGTAAAGGACAGCATCTTGTTTTGTGCCGCAGTTGTATTTTCCAAGCTGCATCTCGGTGAACGTTGGTTACGTCCTGTAGTTACATCTTATATAATGACTCGTGATTGGATGCGTATAATAAAGAGGGAATAATGTTTTGTTGCTTTTATTTCAGTGAGGGGGATCCCAGAGCATGCTTATCATAATAATCCCTTGTTCGCCATTCCACGTCTTTTCTCTGTCAAACACGAAGACAACACAAAGAAGTGATCCCTGTCTTGAATGACAACCACACATATAATTACGTTATATATTCCCGCACAACACAAATAAAAGCAATACTGTTCTAATGTTCACGCCGGCTACCAATATAGTGAGTGAGTGAGTTTAGTTTTACGCCGCTTTTAGCAACATTCCCGCAATATCACGGCGGGTCACGCCAGAAATGGAACCCATGTGGGGAATCGAACCCGGGTCTGACGAGTGAACGCTTTAACTACTAGGCTCCCCAACGGGTGGTGTGCCAGTTTCTCCGTCCTTGTCACACATTTCAAAGCTTATTAATAGAATTGTCATTTATATCTTGACATATAAGTTGACCTAATAATTCCATGCAACCGTGCATCTTGTAAGTGCCAAGCGTCAGATATCGGAGTAAAACGTTTACCACCAAATGTCACCTGCTTGAGAACATCGCTGGTCTCTTTCAGCATAAGTTCAAGGACACTTCAATAGCCATCTAACCCACTCAGCCATCGCTTCTTCCACAGCCTCTGGGATTTGAACCTACACTCTCAGAGTCAGACACCTGTTCACTAGCACATAAAGTCGGCGATCTAATCCACTCAGCCACCACGGCTTCTACAAAACTGGAAGTCGGATAACTTGTTTACTAGATTACGTAGTTTGTGTACCCCTCTGTTTCTGTTGTCCGACAAACTTCCAGTTTTATGAGGGATGAAATAGAAAGATCGTGTGATATTTCCCAGTTCTATAAAAAACAGCAAGCGTGGTATGATGCTGGGAGTCTAAGTGTCGTCGACAGATATAACTTCTCACAACAATTTCTCGTCCTAGACCGAAGACCCGGGTTCGATTCCCCACAATGGCACAATGTGTGAAGCCCGTTTCTGGTGTTCCCCGCCGTGATATTGCTGGAATATTGCTAAAAGCGGCGTAAAACTAAACTCAGTCAGTCAGTCTCGTTCTAGACCCTCTCTACGCTCAGGATCACCGATGCTACGAGGCTCACAACCGACAGCCGTCATGTTTAATACAGCGATGATTGATGTGACGCCAAATACTATTTCTAAAGACTACTTGCGTCGCTTGTTTTAAAACTGAACCTGACCCATTTTAACGATAATCAATTTGAATAGAATGATGGTGAGATGTTCGATACCATCTGTTTGGACCCAATCTTTCAAGCGAACAACTTACATTCACATAAAGATATTAACAATTTTTCACTTAGCAATGTACACTTTAAGCCGTGAAATGTTTATGGATGGACCAGGGAGACTTATATCTCGCCTCTTCTGCACAGAATGTGGGGTAGCCTAGTAGTTAAAACGTTTGCGCGTCACGCCGAAGAGCCGGGTTTGATTCCCCACATGGGTACAATGTGTAAAGCCCATTTCTGGTGTCCTCTACTGTGATATAGCTGGAATACTGCTAACAGCGGCGTAAAGCTAAAATCACTCACTCATCACCAAATGAATCAGCAATTGGTAGCCATGAAACGTCAATAATGAGAAAGTTTATAAGAATGAAACTTCCATGTCTAAATTTTATTTCGACTTTTACGAATGCCTATCACGCAATGTTATCGTGTTTGTAAAGGCATCGGTCAGAAATAGAGACAAAAATGAGATGGATATACGTGGTAGAGGAGAGGTTATCTTATGATCGATCATTCTATTTACCTTGAGGAAGACTCTGTCTGTGAACATCGGGAAAATGTAGCCGCCGTTGACATGATGGTAGGATTGACGTAGACGGTGGACCCAATCTGGTTAATATCGATTTGAAATAAAGAATGCGTAATTAATGCCTTCATATCACCGTGTGTCTAAACATATGGTTTACACAGTGCTATATGGCAGTGCAATTTAGTGTTGAATGAGTGAGTATGGTTTTACGCCGCTTTTAGCAATATTCCAGCAACATCACGGCGGTGGACACCAGAAAAGGGCTTCACACATTGTGCCCATGTGGGGAATCGAACCCGGGTCTTCGGCGTAACGTTTTAACCACTAGGCTACCCCACAGCCCTATGTTGTTGACCTTCATTGTATTGTGTTAAGACTCAGTAATATATATAGTTTTAATGATAATTTCTAAAACATGTAAGAACATATTGTCCCTCTAACAGACTACCGTCCATGTACTGTCCGCCTATCTAGACTTGCCTCTTTAAATGATAGAATTACTATACATCCATTGGCTTAGCATTCAGTACAGCCTTTGAGCAATGCTACGCATACACCTATGTAACATGTATATATCTGGAATATTGCTGAGTGCGGCGTTTAACAACAAACCAACCAACCAATCATACTGGGTTCTTTTGTGTACCGATGTCTACGTTAACTTATTGTTTCGTCCAGGAACTCGACTCGTTACAAATAATGAAGACTCAATGGATGTGTTTAGATCCGGCTCCTGTTTGTTTTTACCCATCCACACCCGATTAACATCCGGCATGACGTGGACAACAGAATGGAACCAATGGCAACGCTTCGTGAAGTCTAAGTTTGCTTACTTCCGGAAATGATCTATAAAACACATGTTTGGATGCATGTGTTCTCCCATCAAGCGTTTATACTTAGAGTACGGTGTATCGAGTCTTGTCGAGGTAATAAATAAGTGAAAGAGTGAGTATTGTTTCACATCTATTTAGGCAGCATTAAGCAAACTCCTACGAGAAACGAAAACAATTCACACATTGTACACATATGGGGAATAGAACCCGGACTTGCGGAGTGACGAGCGACCAGTTTCATCACCGGGCTACCCCTACGAAATTTAAATGATTGGAAACTAACGAAGTCAAATGAGATCAAGTCTGTTGAAACTAGCAACTGTTCACTGATTCGTTTAATGGAGATCTAGAACAGCAACATTAGAATGTCTGTATACATAATTACCTCATTGTCGGACAATGTCAACCCTCATAAAGAGGTTGCCCTGGCAACCGATGACACTGGCGGTGCACATCGAGGATGACGAAGCAGAAGCTAACTTCGGACCTCATGGTGACGTGAAGCCATTCCATGGTACCATTCTAGAAACATTTGAAGGACTATTTCCTTGGGCTTTGCAAATGGGTAACACTATCTTTTTGTCCTATGGTTGGCATCCGTAAATTAACTGTCCATAAACCATGAAACGCCCACATCGGAGAAAATTATCGATTATCTGCCAAATCAGATTCATTAGGTAGTAGTAAATGGCAAGGTAGAGGTGAAAAAGATATGAATGAATCAATGGGCTCAATAACGCTCTACCATTGGAATTATTCAGCCTTCACCCTGTTAGGAATATATAGTTTTTATAGAAATGTTCAGAAATGTGAGTTTGAAAGTAAAATCGGTAAGTATGTTCAAAATATAATGTTAATGTGCAATTATGTAATTATATCGTATCACTGATATCGGATTATCAACAGGTATATTCATATATGGGGAAAACGTGATATGCAAATGATGTTCATTTTCGGCACAGAATAGATATATCGTCATTGCCTGGTCATTACGCCGCATGTAACTTCTATATAATCCTGATATTAGTACTTGTGTCTAGAATTGATAGAGCGTTACTGTTCCTTGTTCAGTCATACCATATATGTTACATAAATCTTTTGGGATTTTTCAGATAAGTGGGCTTTGTTTTTAAATTTAAAAGTCGGATGTTCAGTTTTACATACATGGATGTAGAGCTCACTTTGTTGTTAGATGCCAATTTAATGCTTACCGTCGATTAATCTAAGGTAGAAAACAAAGAGAAAAACGATGTTGTCGATGACCTGAATTAACTATCCTCATTCAGGGCACACTGACGTGCTGTTCCATTAATGTGTATGCCCCATACATTTAACGCACGCTACCAATGAAACAAATGATAAAAGGGTTCAAGACATTAATGTGTCAGTTGACTTGACTTGGACAACTGTGAATCATGAAACAAGGGGCTACAGTAGCCCTGTAGGAGACTGTACTAGACAATAACAACAGACGTGAAGAGTAACGTCGGTCACCAAGGCTACGTTTGCTTACGAGCTGGCAGACTAGAATGGCGTAGTGACGTAATGAAAGAAATCTACTTCATCACCTAATAAAGTCCTGTCGGCGCATTTGAAGTTTTAGCGAAGCATCTTATAAATTTTCCTCCATTTCATTGGGATTATTTATATTACAATATGTGTCTAATCTGAATAATATACAGGGATATGCAGGAATCAACCGTTTTTGTCAATAAAATGTCATTAGGGCAGGTACTTCATGGAAGCGTTCAAAATATGGGGCACCGATCATCAGCATCAAAAAGGACATGAAATTCAATGATTGACAAAAGTGACGTCGGATAATGGAACTGTATTATCATTATATTACCAAAAGGACAGAACATTCATAAAATCTACATTTTGCAAGTATAACCCCTGACTATGTGTTTACAAACTCAGTAGATATCTTTCGAACGTAACGACGGAGACTAAGGTCGGATCCCTTAGAAGAATGTATTGTTAAAATATAATTTCCTTTATAAAATCACCCGAAAGCCATGGTTTATTCAATAGCTCAGGATATATACTTTGGTACACGTTAACATCAGATATATTTAAAACGTCATTGCAAAAGAATAATCAGGTTTGACTATCCTCAGAAAACGAATGTATACTAATTTGTCTTGGTACTACCATTATCCCTACATCCGCAATTCCAAACTCCACATTAATCCAACTTTTCAATCTGAATCTTTCAATCTGGTTTCATGGCTCAATTAGGAAAGGCTGCTTTCATGAATGATCGATAGTTATTGTTACTAGAATGGTCTACCGACACGGGACTATTAACTGTAATTCAATTACATGTACACTGATATTAAAGACAGCGTACAGAGCCGTCATAGAACAAAACAAAATACGAATTATGTTGTGTGTTTTTGATGATGACGAAATGGTACAATGCATCAGATCAGGTGATTGATCTACAAGTATCAAATCAACTAAACCAACACAAATACCAAACCAAAATGCATTCGTGTTGATCGGATGATAGCGTCTTCAGCTGAAGAAGAATCTAATGTAAAAACAGGCTCTTGCAAATATTTATTGTTATAGCGTCTTACTGAGTAAATCTTACTAAAGGGATTTATCACGAAAACCACAGCTTCGCATTGGTCCTGAATGAAGGAAGAATGTTTTTCTGTAATGGTAAAGGGCAGCAAGAGGCAGGTGATGCACTTGTGAACGCGCAAGTGTGTGTGCGTTAATAAATAAAACAGACACGCGCTTTTGACGAATGTGTCTATTCTTAATGTTGGTTTCAATGTTGTTAAAAACGTTTAAAATCTGATCTTTCTTTGGCTATGTAACTGACTTCTGTTAGAGGGTATACTCTTAAAAAGGTCCTCCTCCCATCACATTGTGATCGGGTTAGAAAGGATTATATATTTTGATAATTTAAAATATTGTTCCCAGAAGAACAAATGCATTAAATCCATGTCTAAATCATATATTACAAAATCACATGGATCAGAATCAGCTGTTTTTCTTTTATCGGAATAGCTGGAGCAAACTGACCGGACGCAACTCTGCCGAAGTCCTGAAGTTCTCCAATTCCGTGAAGGTGATAATGTATGTACATCGTCCAGCTGTTTCCACTTCCCTGCCAGCTACACATTATACACAGTTACTGTAGAGACCAGTGGTGAGCTTTTACGCCCACTAGCTGGACTTTGTTTACGGAACGACTCTTACGTTTAACAAGACAAACATAATCCCTCAAAGGACGCTGCTGCTCGCTCTGGTGTAAATTGTTAGTGTCGTTGTAAATGTCGACAGTCGTCTCGTGAGACGTTCCTCCTATCATCCTACTGCCAAGTTGAAAAGCGAACTAATGGAGCAGTACTTATCTACTAACTCTATGTAAATACTTCATACATATGTATTTCAAACAAACATTGTCATGCAAAGGGTTTTGTAAAGCCAAGACAACGGGAGTGACATTTAACATTGCTTTGGACGGAATCATAGTCATATCACAGGTTATCAGTTTAATGTGGATAAAAGTCTAAAGTCATGCAGGTCCGAGGCGTTTTCATATCTGGGGTAACCTATCAGCAGTGGACTGGTGATGCCAAACCTAGAATCTTAATCTGGGAACCCGGGATTCGAACCCACAGTCATAGGTTTCTGGCGTGACCAAGGGACATAACTCTGCACAGCCAATAGCGGCGCTTTACATAACTGGATGACAAACCGAGAATCATAATGTGAGAATTCGGGATTCGAACCCACAGACATAGGTTTCTGGCGTGGCCAAGGGACATAACTCTGCACAGCCAATAGCGGTGATTTACAAAACTGGTGATGACAACCCTAGAGTCATAATCTCGGAAACTAGGATTCGAACCCACAGACATAGGTTTCTGGCGTGGCCAACGGCCGTAACTCTGCACATTCAATTACGGCGCTTTCCAAAACTAGGCCATCGGGGCGCCATGGAAAAATACAGGACTTTGTTGTTGCTCCTGGTAAATTGTCGTTGAGTAATCGTGTACCTTTGTTGAGAAAATAACAGCATTAGTATGACCGTGATATCCATGGCAAGTATGATTCAGTTAGAAGCAAGTTAAATACAGAACATAAACACACACTAACAAAGGCATAAAGTAAATAAACGGATGGGTAAAAACTTGAAATTAATTAAACAACAAACGCCAAGAAAAACTATCACCTACTTCATTTTCTCTTATGAATCCAAGCTTACGTAAACAAGGGATGCTACAATAAGCACATATTTATTGACAAAGCGGAAAGGCACTCACGATTACAGTTTCTTATCTTTAAACGGAGACTCTGCACACGTGGGCGGACATACACAATACACGACCTGTCATTCAGTATTAAACAAAAAAATCAGAATGTGGAGAATAAACAAAAAGACGGAGAATGAAATAAACTGTTTTACTTTTTCAGTTTAATCCCTTTTTGTGACCTTGTCAGCCCAGACGTTAACCTATTTTAATTCAATGATCTATCTCAGACGCTGTTCTTGTATCGATTAGCTTCTTATTCACTTCAAGGACGCATCATCAGTCACCTCGAGGATGTTTTAAAGGTTTGAAGAAAAAAACATATCCCCAAACCATTCATTTTCGTGACACCTCGTGTTCGATAACTGAAGCAAATTGAATTGAATAATTACACAGCTTTGCGTATTATACTTTAAAGATTGCATCCCTCCTGATGGGGTCCACGGGAACACAAATGCTTACAGATTCCGCAATTCAATGGTTAGAGTTGCCCCCTCAGCTAACAGGATCCGCTGACAGTTCCAACCGGATTTCGCAACAAATATAACTCTTGGATTTTCGGCAGAATGTTTGTGCTCTTCAGTTTCAAGAAGTGGCCTTCGTCACTTGCCATGCCTTCCTAGATAAGATTGAGCTCTGTTCTATTGGCTGTAAACTGTGACACACCATCTCAACATCCCTTTTTCATTGCCTTTCTGTTGTGTTTCTCACTCCGGATGTCGACCAAGCAATAGGGCTGTATATTGACCAAAAACTTGTATTGCAATATCTGGCGATTTATTGGGAACTTAAGTGTTTGACAGTGTGTGGCACTACTTGCGTATGCTAATCACATTTTCTACATTAAAAAAAAAAGTCCCTAAACATATATGTTATGGTTCTGATAACAGCAGTCTCAAAATTAGGTTGCATAGTCATGGACTCTATTTTCTTTTTTTATACAATGTATAGTATTACACTCAATACAGTATGCTGTTTTGTCATTGAATAACGAATGAAAACATCTGTTGTCAATGAAAGTATGTGTAGATTATAATTTAAACCATAAAGTTAATCACAAAAACTTCATATATATTCTTTACCCAATATACCGGTTCTCAGAAAAATATTGCAATACGTATCGTTTGAAAAGCGTATTACGATATACCGATATACCGGTAATACCGTGCAGCACTACAAAGGAACCTCTCATGTTATTACACATAATCCTGTTATCATACATAATAAATGGATGCCGTAGTTCGCACTGAAAAGACTTGCTACGTAGCGAACATGGACACAATTTGACAACTGAAGAGAGTTCAGCCTTAATGAGATATTATGTGATCAGCCTCTTAATCCCTGAGGCCCGTAACAACATTTTGGGTGGGGGCACAGTGAGGTTAAACCGTGATGTTGAACTGCACAGAGAAGGTGTAAACAGACTAAAGCGAGTACCTGTGAAGATCCGGGATTGATATTCAGTAACCCATGCTTGTAAAGGCAACCAACGGGGATCGGGTGGTCAGGCTCGCTGACTTGGTTGATGCATGTCATCGGATCCCAATTGCGTAGAACAATGCTCATGATGTTGATCACTAGATTGTCTGGTCCTGACTAGATTATTTACAGACCACCGACATATAAATGGAATATTGCTGAGATCGGCGTAAAACTAAACTCACTCACTCGCTTAAGCGCGTAATAATTTGGTATTGTGGACATTAGATAGAAGGAAAACGTTCTTTTAACAAACATGACCTGCAAAAAAATCCAAGGTCAACCTGACCTGGAAGAATGTCATTTGTTTGACGTCATTCTTGAGCCGTGTTTGCGCTGGAGATTATTGCAAACATGCCTTGTGTATCCATACAGCTGTTGTGTGGCGTTATGGTTGTTCATAAAGGAATCCATATCCGTATCATGTCAGTGATGGGTTTCAACCAGACACCTGTGATCGCTTTTATCACATACTAATAATAGCTTCTTGGATATTACTCATTGTTTAAACACGTGTGAGTGAGTGGGTTGAGTTAGTGAGAGTGAGTTTGGTTTTACGCCGTTTTTTAGCAATATTCCAGCCATAGCTCGGCATGGGACACCAGTAATGGGCTTCACACATTGTACCATGTTGGGAATCGAACTCGGGTTTTCGGTGTGACGAGCGAACGCTTTAACCACTAGGCTACCCCACCGTCCCTTGTCGTACAACACCCTGATATAATGAGTGAGGGGTTTGGGTTTAACGCCGCTTTGAATCGTATTCAAATCAATATGATATATGCGTGCCGGGAATAGAACAGATGTTCATGGGTTCCGGGCGTGCCCAAGGGACGCAACTCCCTACAGTGAAGTACCGAGTCTTATTCAACCTGTAATCAACCATGTACCCCAATCAGCTGTTGCCTCAGCTGCACAGTGTCTGGCTACGAACACTTACCTTTTCATGTGAATCGTGTGAGGTAACGGTACCGACAGCAGGGAAGGACATTCCTACACATTTGGCAAACACCTGATGTCAACACTGATTTTTCATTATATAATTTTCACCGCTATTTTGTTTTCTACGTACAATGGAATCTGTTACTGCGGATTCTCTGAACTGTTTACTCTTGCATTGCAATTGACGCTTTGCATATTTGCGAAACTGGCTCTTTGGTCTCCGCTTAATTTTGTACTCATTTAGAGCAGTACATTTGTGAAAAACAAAACATGTCAAATTTAATGTTCTATGTAGCGATATTAGTCTTCGAAGTGACAGGATTTTCATACCGTAAGGGCCAAGGTTTTTGAAAATCTTAATTCTGCAGTTTCAGGTGTAGGGGTTAATGGCCATGCAAGTATTCCAACTGGCAAATTCAACCAAAGCAATTTCTTAGCCTTCATGTAGAACCAAGCTAAGCAGAAAGTGCGATCCTATTTTCATTCATATGCTCCAAAGAATTGTCAGAACTTCAGGAAATATGTTCTATATCTGACATGAAACCTTTGATCTGGTCCCTTACATATATTCCCGAGTTATCGACTAATTTATTACCTCTTGTGGCCTACATATGTGATGTTCTACATCATACATAGATGACAGCAACCTGATATGTGATATCACCTTACATCTGTGAGGATCATGAAGTTCCTCATATTATACAGCACTTGTTTTAACCCTGACAGTTTGCCTTACACCTTTACATCACATGCATAGCTATAGTCGTGAAAGACGATCCTGGCACGCCTAAGTCCTGCAACTCTGGCACCAAACTGGGTCTTTCGTCTCCCCGGACATTCCCAAACAGCCTGTCAATGTACCTAGATACACCTACTGTTATTGAGTGAGTGAGTGAGTGAGTGTTTGTACGCCTCTGTTAGCAATATTCCAGCAATATCATGGCGGGGGACACCAGAAATTGTCTTTACACATTGTACCCATGTGGGGAATCGAACCCGGGCCTGCGGCATGACGAACGAACGCTTTAACCGCAAGGCTACCCCACCGCCCCTACTATTATTGACGAGTTAGTGAGGTAGCAAGGTTTTAACGCCGAATATATCATCTGTTTCTCTTTTAGCTTGTTGTTGGAAGACGTCCTGATGTCATGCAGGTGTCAAACGTCCACAGTTTAGGTGTACGGGTAAGGTGTTGAGAAACCTGGAAAACTGAGGCTAAACAGGACTGAAAAGTCAAATCGTATGTTTCTGGCGTGATCAAGGAATTAAACTCTGCACTGCAAATTGCGACCGTCCGTGCATTTACGAGAATGTCAATGATTGCTAGGAAAGCAGTGTTTGTATGCTTGTGTTAAAGGGGATATAACTCACGCTCAGCTAGCGCTGTTTAGAAAGATGTTGTCTATTCTACGCTTGGTGGCCCAATGGAAGGGTGGCCCACCGAGTAGGCTGTCGTCCAATACTTTCGTTGATCCGCTAGTCCTGGCTTGGATTTATCAAGATCATGACTAAGTGCCAGAACTGTACCTATTGCGGGCCTTGCTCACTCACTTACCCATCCCCTCACTCACCCGTCCCCTCACTCATTCACTCACTCACTCATCCATCACCTCACTTACTCACTCGCTCTTACTCTTCTCCTCTTTGAATACAATCTAGATACATGTTGTCTGATTCCAACATCCTGATGGCTGTCAAGGATATTCATGTGAGGAGGTGTGTTCTGACGGCGTCATTAAGGTTGTAATCAGATATTGGCTGCCACATCTTTAAAGAAAAGCAGCTGGCGTCAGCATTGACATTTACTCGATACAAAACATGTTTAGAATCGCTATCGTATACAACAAGACATGCACGGCGCTAACTTGTTATGTGATATATGGTCGTCTCGCGTTTAATGTGTGAAGATGCTTGAAACACATTGTCAACCTGAATGTGAACAAGCCAAGTAAGGAGAAGGTTGAAAAACACTAATTCCTTTGCCCATGATGGCACCGCGCTCTTTAGGATTTTTTTAGGTCTGAACTACATGAAGGTCAACGAAGCGTCATGATTTATATAGAGGCAAGGATAAACGTTTCAACGACAGCAACGTCGGAAAAGTAATAGTATTATACTATTTTAATCTTGTATCATGATTCTTTCAACAACCCAGGAACTTACACACTGAGGAGAAGCTGCACATGTTGGGATATACTGACTCAAAGACAAAATATACATTGGTTCATCTGTAATTGTGTCTTGACAAGTGGGTTATTGTGTACTCATTTAAATGAATATTTATTAACCCATCTGAAACGTAATATTTTCCTCATCGCCACTGTTATTCCATATTTTCAGTTGTCAATGAATGTATATGGTGGCAATAACATCAGCTGTTTGCTGTTTGCCCATCGCGAACCTAAACGACGAGATTGGTGACTTAGTCTATTGACACCATTGTTCCTGTGCTTCTCCTGATCAGGAAGAACCTGTCTATACCTACTTGTGTGTAGTCCTGATTTATCTAACGCCGCTATATCACACGTCAAGAGATTTCCTCGACCTAAAGGAGCTTCATGCAGGACGTTTCTCCCATACATCACTACCTGCGTCCCGGAATCATCTCTATCGCTGTGTTCGGCTTGTGTTTGGCTTGTTTTTCGACATGTTCCGGACATTGTTTGTTCGTTTATTGTTTGACTCTCCACTCAGCAATATTCCAGCTATATGGCCGCGTAAATAATCGTAATGATCGAGACATCAACAGCATGAACATCGATTTACGCAATTGGGATAGGATGACATAGCAACTTAGTCAGCGATCCTGACCATCCGATCTGGTTAGTCGCCTCTTACGACAAGTACTGGTTGCTGAAGACCATTTCGGACCCGGATCTTCACGGGTACACATGTTCCCGAGAAATAAGTTTGAAGAAAGCGTGTACAGTCAAATAGCGTTGTGTCGAAGCTGAAGGAATATTCTTTGAGGTATTTACAAGCTTTTACTTCGAGACAAGCGTAAATGGACATACCAAAGTTTGACACAACTGTGATTGACTGTATCTGATGTGCAGGACCTGATACACCGCCAGGTGATGGTCTGTTTCAGGACCTACCATAGACACACACGCCACCAGGTATTCGATTCGGTCTGTTGCAGGACCTACCATAGACACACACCCACCAGGTATTCGATTCGGTCTGTTGCAGGACCTACCATAGACACACACCACCAGGTATTAGATTCAGTCTGTTGCAGGACCTACCATAGACACACACAACCAGGTATTAGATTCAGTCTGTTGCAGGACCTACCATAGACACACACCACCAGGAATTAGATTCAGTCTGTTGCAGGACCTACCATAGACACACACCGCCAGGTATTCGATTCAGTCTGTTCCAGGACCCATACTTTAACTCCAAGATCGCACAATAATTCTGAGACCAATAACACTGTTTGCCCACAAGCCAAGGTAGACATACCCCAATAGACGTCTTAAAGGACACTACTGGACACTACTGCCAAGCTTCGGAAATTGGGAAATGTCCTGATGACCACAAAGCAGATCAATGGAGTTTCGATTTTTCAAGTTGGTATCCATCGATACTGAAACTTATGCAGTTTCTCAGGAAACTCACTTGCTGCACACACAACCTACAAATAATGTTCAATACATGTTTGTTCCCAGCTTTAGCCCAGTATCCCAAAATTACAAATGAATTAATGCACGTAATCCGTATCCAAGATTTCGCAAGGCTTGTCTGCAAGCAATCCGCTGAACCAGCAGATAGGTCAACACAAGAACTAAAAAATACTGATTGATTTTTCTGTCTTGACATTTACCAATCATATAAAAAACAACACTTTTTTATAGACCAGTGACAAATTGCCCATCTGGTAATATATTAGGCAGTTTGTGTTCTGACTCTGACATCTCAGGCTTCTGCATGGAATTATGTATGGAAGCAGGATAACATATTTGAATTATTGCCCTGAACAACTTCCTGACAACGGCTTCAGCGTCGTAATGAGTTATCACACAAAGGTCAGCATATTTCATCGAGGGCACTTTTAGCTATCTGATTTAAGTATTATCGGAAAATGCCAGCAAAAGTAATTTTAGGGCTTGGGTGGTTGCAAGGTGAATCAGAACCTATGTACCTATGGAAAACTTACAAGACTTTTGTTGTGGTGTGTCTGAGGGAGCTGATATATTGAGTTTACTGTGTTACAACAGTCACTGTTCAGGATTTTGGGCACGGGCATATGATTCGTCCTGAGCTTACCTTACACTGTGGTTGGTTGGTAGTTGTTTAACATCAATGGTATCCAGAAATGTGCAACCGACCCTCAATGTGTCGAACTCGTGGGGACTTGAACACACCTTGAGTTATCCGGGGTACGAGACAACCAACAAATTAAATGTTCCAAAACAAGGCACCACACGACAACCGCGAATGCAACTAAACGAGATTCGACTGTGAGATTTGACCGTATTGCATTAAAATACAACAATAAATCTACCTGCCTTTCTCACTCAGCAATATTCCAGCTATATGGCGGCGGTCTGTAAATAATCGAGTCTAGACCAGACAATCCAGTGATCAACAGCATGAGCATCGATCTGCGCAATTGGGAACCGATGACATGTGTCAACCAAGTCAGCGAAACTGACCACCCGATCCCGTAAGTCGCTTCTTACGACAAGCATAGTCGCCTTTTGTGGCAAGCATGGGTTGCTGAAGACCTATTCTACCCCGGATCTTCACGGGTCCCACTCGATGATGCTTAACCGTAAAACTACGAAAGCCTTACGGTGCCACTTTGGTAGAATATATTGATTTTTCAGCACCAAAATTCGTCGTTATTTAAATCATGTTTTTATTTTCGACACAAAACTTGCAATTAACACATATATTATTTCGAATAATCGAAATATCAAGAGATTTCGTTTCAAAAAAAATTCTTGCTATAAATGTGGCACCAATAGGCTGGTTACAGAAGACATATCGTCAGCATATATAGTTTCTGATCATTGTGTCAGATGATCCTTAATATATATAAGGCACGTAATCTTTGTAAAAGCGGAAAGGTTTAAAGAGAAAAGGCCAGACTGTCACTACCAGCTGCTCCAACACGAGTTTTGGGATCTCTGCACGTGAAGGAGCACGTGCTAAACGCGTCTAATACCTTGAAGTGTTGTCTATCTGGTAAAGGTCAGCATACCCATTAGACAGCATAAATGTCAATATTTGTTTCTTTCTCTTAGGCGCTGCCAAGAAACTGGCAACTGTGATTACATTAAACATGTATCTGTAGAGATTACTCTGAACATGTGATGCGGATTATCTCCTCCACTGCACATGAGAGCCTACACGTACACTCGAGACAAACGTAGGAGATGGCCAGATATTAATTTATCTGCAAACACCGCAACATCTCGCTATTTAGTTTGATCTAAGGAGAAATTTCTGAATGAAATCATATTTCAGAAAATAGCGTCTTACTTCACTTAAAACTTAGAAAGTGCTTTTCCAGCAGCAATGTTTCCAGCCTATTCATTGAGAGAGAGAGAGAGAGAGAGAGAGAGAGAGAGAGAGAGAGAGAGAGAGAGAGAGAGAGAGAGAGAGAGAGAGAGAGAGAGAGAGAGAGAGAGAGAGAGAGAGAGAGAGAGAGAGAGAGAGAGAGAGAGAGAGAGAGAGAGAGAGAG